TGTCAATGGCCACCTTACGGTTTTTCGGTGGTTTAATGGATAATTCTTGTTATACTTGTCTGGTCTTTCGAAAAAAATAACGTTTTGTATATAGATTCACAACTGCTTCCGCAATGGACGCATGCATCATTCAAATGGTGGAAATTTTCAAAGAGGTGAGGAAATCATTGTTTCTAATTTTTTCAAAATTTTCTATACAAAATTTGAGAGACTTCCGGATCATTGACAGTTGATTAGCTCTAATTAGGTCCTGAAATTCAATGGAATATTCACGTTAAGAAGAGAATGATGTCACAAGATGAAAAGTTACGGCGTTGCCACCATGTGCACTATTTCAAACTTTCATTTTTTTTGTACTGTTGATTTGTTTTATTGCTATTAACCTTACTTACTATTACTTAGTTGAGATACAATTAGAGTAACACTTCTCTTTTTTTTTCATAATAAGTAATGAAAAATAAAATATTTTATTTAAATTCGTTTAATTGTATATATTTTTTAAATACAAATCGTCATAATCATTGTCATAATCATCATCGGAATCGAAATTTATTATGAGGCTTAACATCTTTCCTGTCAAACCCAACTTCTCTACCCCTATATAACTATGTTTTGTTTAGTATGTCGAATAGTTTCAGCCCATACATCAGGTGTAGCTTTGTCTAAAGCTTCTTTCCATATAGCCCGGGATTTGTCAGCTGAAGTGCCATCTTTTCCCACATTATCCCTATAAAAATTTTTTGTTAATCCCCAGATATATTCGATGGGATGAAACATGCAGTGATACGGTGGAAGACTAAGCACTTGATGTCCATATTTTTCTGCAAGCTACATATATAGGTGGTGGTTTATTCCTACAACGTAAATTTATAATGTATTGATTTAGCTTTAATAACAGTTTCATTTACTTTGCAACTAATTCCACCAATTGTGGTTTGGGAAAAGTATTTTCGAAGGTAATGTTATTGTTTAATGACCATTCTTGGATATCAGCTTTCTTCGATGCTGTTGTTGGGGCTTTATTAATAACAGTGCTGTGATAACTTGCATTATCCATGACTATAACTGAAGGCTATTCTAAATTTATTAATAGTTGGTATTCAAACCAATGCAGAAAATTTTGTTGGTTCATTTCACCGTGGTAATCACAATTCTTTGTTTTTGAACAAATAATTAGGTCTGCCACAGGAATAAACCTGGTACTTCATCCAACATGAAGTACAGTATATCTTGAAATAAAAAAAATCAGCTAGTGTATTTTGTTTTCATTTTATGGTTGTATTTACCTTGCACCACCAACCTTAGTCTTTTTGACACTTTTAACGTTGGAATTTTGCCAGGATCGCCCAATGGTACCATCTTTGAATACCCAAGTTTCATCCAAGAATACAAATTGGCGTGAACACTCTGTTTTGAGTTTCATGTAATCATGTAAAAAGTGTATACGTTTCATTGCAATTTTAGGCAGCTCCATCACACTACGACGTGTAAAGTTGTCTTACAACATTTGAAAAGATCGCGTTCTTTCAGTTTATTTTTCAAAGTTTTCAACTTGATATGTTTTCCTGAAATTATTGTTGTCAAATATTGAATATTGAGTAAATCAATACTCAACTTCAAGACATCTGCAACCCTCTGAAATCAATAATCAACAAATATTTAATATAACCCAACATTTATATATTTCCTGTATAATTTTTGTTTAGTTTTTATAGATGTAGGATAGGTAATTGATACATTTAATATAACTTAGGTCTCTAACAGCAGTTAGTGGAAGTAAAGGTCCTTCATTCTCACCTTCTCTTTCAAAGTAGTCTATTAAAGACGCCTTTATTTTTATTAACTTCAGGTACAATATAAAATATAGAATATATACATAGTAAAAACAAGTTAAGTTAATAAACTAAGAAGTCACATAAACTGTTTCCAGTTTGTGTGTGATTGTGAAAATTACAATCAAAGTTAAAATCACTTAAAAAAAACTAATAAAATAATATTTTGATTTGAAGCATTTTATATTAGTAAGCAGAAAGAAGAGCTGCACGGGATCAAATATATTTGTTTCGTGATAAAGAACATCTGTTGGGTGATTCCTCTTTTTTTTGAAAACTATTTAAAGGATTCTTTTTTGTGTTATTATCAGTTTATTCATAGTAGTCTTTCCAGCTGATCCTTATGAAACTATTTCAACAATTCTTTAGGCTTATTGAATATGCGCTGATCTTATCAAAAGAAATGATTAGTTCTGAAAAGAGAGATTGACAGTTTTCGAGTGTTTTTCGATTCGGCAACGTCTGATATTTTACTATCAGTTGTGCAACTTACAAAATAAAATTTTACTAGTTTTATTGCTATTGAACGCATTTCATTGGGAATTTAAATGTTGTTATGTCGGATATCAAAAATTACCAAAAATGATGTCATTCTCTTCCTAACATGAATATCCTTATAACAAATGTTTCATGCTAGTACTGTTTTTTCAGAAAAATTTTTTTGGCTTTCTACATCTCCATTATCAAAAAAAATGTCGGGAACTTCTAGAAAAAGGAAAACAAAAATAAGTATAATGAAAATTTGGAAGAAAAACCCTTTCGAAACAATTACTTGCGTATGAATATGGAATGATTTTTTCTTTTCCATTCGCACTCGAAACATTTGTGTTAGAATTGAAACCGATTTTACTCATATCTGTTTAAAAATCTGTCTGTTTTTCCGTTAACCAGCTGTCACACCCCTACGAACGACAACCCTCAGAAGTCGAAACTTGTGCGAGCTAAGGATTAACGAGGTCTTACCTTTTAACGTGTGATTCCTATGAACGCTACACAACACAATATGAGGTCTGATCATTCGATTAATACATTCGAATAGCGATGTTTTTTTTTTATTTTATATGTTGGTACATTAGTCCCGAACATATGTTCTCAGTTTAGCTGTTTAGCATGTTTAGTTTGTTGGTAAGATAGCTAAGAGTTAGAAGTGTTTTGCGTGTTCAGCCATTTTCTGCTATCGAAAAAGTGAGTCAAAAAATTTGCAACAAATTTTGTGTAAAAAATGCGTAGTGCATCAGTGCGTAGTGCATCAGAAGTTTTTGCCACATGGTCGTATGTACAATAAGTAGTCTTATCTTGAAGTTATGCGCCGTTTGCGAGAAGCAATACGAAGAAAAAGTCCAGTATCGTGGAAAAACAATTCATGGCTTTCGCATCACGATAGTGCACTTGCAATTACGAATGATCATTGCTTGTTCGCAATCTTTTAGCCAAAACCAGCACCAGTACGATGCTGCAGCCACCGTACTCATCAGATTTGACCCGCTCCGACTTTTTCCTGTTCCCAAGATTGAAGAGACTCATGAAGGGAAAAATCAAATCGCTGGCAAATAGAAATTGATGAATAAATAAATAATTTTTAATAAGAATGAAAATTCACCTTATTTTTTGAACATACAGCGTATATCAAAATCCCCAAATGACCATTTCTAGTTAACTCGCTGATTGCTAATTTGTTACTTACATTCGTCCGTGTATAATTACTGGTGCTTAGTCATGAAATAAACCAGTAGAAATATCCAATTCACATTAGGAAAAATTATCGTTTCATTTACTCGAAGTGCTAGGTGCGTTTAATAACAATGATCATCACAAACAAGGTATTACAAAAAAATTCAGCCAGGATGTTCGTACAAGACTAAAAAAAATATTGTTTTTTTCAATATTGATTTTGTAATCTTTCCTGGCTGTGATGAGACCTTCAGAAGTGTTTACTTTAACAATTAACTCACGAAAACTTGAATTTTAAGTCTTGATATGAGTTATTGAATATATGATTTGACTGATTTAAAAAATACTTCATAGGGAAATCGAAGACTTTCACTTCTTATTTTTACTAAAGTCTTCAACTTGTCTTTTTTTGTACATTACTTATCGTGATACTCGTATCAGCCATTTTTTATGAAAATATTTTTATTTCCTTTGAAAATGAAAAAGAAAGTATTGGCCAAAGGTTAAATGGGTTCTCCAAAAGTAAGAGTTTCAAAACTAACATTAAGTTGACCTTCACTTTCGAAGTGTGTGTCAGATCATCTGCTCGTAATAACAAAGTCGGATCCTTCATTGCAAATTGCAATATTCCATCATTGAAAATCCCATGTCGTTCTTATAGGCCGGTAGCAAATAGTAAAATATCGGTGCTCCATAAGGACTGAATTCTTGTTGAAATGTCTGTGAATCCATAATTTTTTAAATGTTGTTAATTAAATTAATTGAGATAACAAAAGTGATTTATTTCCAACAGGAGTACCCAGTTACAGGAAATGCTATTATTACAGAGTATATATGAAATAAATATTAAAAATAATGGAATATGTATAAAAGTAAATGCTAAAACATAATCTAACCTTGGCCATACATAAACAAGCTGACTGTTTAGCCGTCAATGACATCGTAGCGCAGCCTTTCTGCTTATGCTTCGGGCATCGGAAGCGTCCAACACCCGGGTCTTGCTCGATGACACTCATGACACACCTATGGCTGCTGCACTTTTTCGTAGCCAAAAAAGGCCTTGCTGTTGAGCCCAAGTGATACCGTCCATCGGTGTCTTCGGAAAAGAATTCAAATTCCAAAGTGACGACTAGAGAACATGTAGCGTCGCAACGCTGATACAGCGTTCTCCGACTTTTTTATTTGACCTTTCCAGGCGCTAGGAGTCATGTCAATCGACTCAAATTCAAAAGTTATGTCGATTCATATACAAGGTAGCCACCTAGCGGGGGTAGGCTAAGACGAATGTTAGCCAAAAATAGTGTCATTGTATCTAACAAATACGTTTTTTTATGATAAAAAAACTTCCACTCTGAAAAACCCTTTTGGTTCCCGGACTATCACGAGAAAGTTTTTTCCTGCAATGTGGGTCATGTTCGAACTTTCTCTGCATTGGTATCAGTACGCGGCACATACTCCGTCGGTAGACAGCAAAGCCTGACAGTGTTTATTTTACAGATAAAATGAAGATAACCTTTGTGCTAGCAGTGGTGGTTGCAGTATTTCTGAAAGAATCCAACCAGCAGTGTTTTCCACCGTTCGCAGGAAACCAACCCAATAAAAATGCGCATGCAAATCTCTATGCCGGGCAGCAGGAATTCTCTCTGGCCCTTCTTAACGCCATCAACAAATTGATGCCCAATGAAAATTTGTTTTTCTCGCCGTATTCCACTTACCATGCGCTGTTGATCGCCTACTTCTTGTCCGGGGGCCAAACAGAGACCTACCTGAAGAAGGTCCTGCGACTAAAGGATGATTTGGTAAGTGATTTTTACTGTAAACTATTTTCAATATTCATCATTTCATATTTTGACTGCAATAATAATATACATGTTCTTTATAACAAGAAGTACAGCTTCTTGTTTTATTATTATATTGTATTATATTATTATATTGTTATATTAACCATTTGTAGCCAAGCACAGTTTGGCTACGAATGGTTAATCAAGAATCTGAATCTGGTGTTTTTGTGAATAGATGAATTGATAATATTTCAATAATAAAAATAAAAACCGACAGAAGTGATAACTTAAACTGATCTAAAATGAACTATTTAATATTGAAATTGTTCAATTCGAGAAAAGCTTAGGTATTTACTCAAGTTTTATGTATATTAATATGATAATTTAAGGAAAGGTTGTTTATTAACAAAATCTTTCATTGATTGTGTTGTGTATGTACATATATTACAGCTATCATAAGCCAATTGTTTCTTTTGTAGGATTAAATAATGGATTAATAATGTACATCCACAAAATTAGTATCATCATTTTTGAGCTACGTATCACATAATTAAAGAATACTACGTGTTTACTGGTTAGATTTTTATAATAATCATAAACACTATGTATACACAGTGCATTTCATTTAAAACGAACCACCCTGAATAATTTTCGGTACAATGATTTGCAGGAAAAATAAAAAACACGTCAACCATAGTATACAGGGGAACCTATTTTGACATATTCACATTTGATGTTACTTCCCCTATCGCACCCCCAGAGCATGTTACCAATTTTTTTAATGGAACACCCTATATTGTTCCGCATTATTAGATGCTCCATGATGAGCAGATTTCAACAAAGTATAAAATATGTAGCTTGAAGCTTATGGTTCGGGAGCTACAATTTATTTGAGTTGAAATCGAGCCACCCTGTTACCTTGTAAAATCTGTTACCTTGGTTTCATAGGTGTTTTTGAGAAGTATACTTCAAAAAATTCTTATTTTGCCTAGTTAAGTTTGAATTCGATATTCTTTTCATTTTGTATTTGTCTCATTCTACAATAACGATTACCTACCAGGTGAGGTTACAACTGGAGTTTCTGTTTTTGTGAATTCTTGAAAAGCAATGGTTTATACGCTTCGAGAACGGATTGAAATAGTGAGTTTGTACTACCAGAATGGAAATAGTTCTAGAGCTGCTGCACGTATGTTCAATGATAATCATCCAGGAAGAAAATGTACGACACAAATACGTTTCGGAATTATTGAACAAATTTATGGAAACTAGATATGTTAACAATAAAAAGCATAACCGTTCAGGAGTTGTCAACGATGAAGCTATTTGTACTGCAGTTTTAGGGCACGTTGGACTAATGGAAAATTCGCAATCTCTTACTAAGTTATCTCGAGAATCAGGAATGTTTTCAAATGTTTTCAGGATCCTTAATTAGTACAAATTTCATCCATATAAGATTAGACTAGTTCTTGAATTGAACGTGGATCTTAGTAAGATATGTCTCGACTTCAGTTCAAAGCAGCACCATGTGGCCTAGGGAGAAATAGCAGGTTTTTATTCAAAGAGTTGAGATGGAAAGATAATACGTCAGAGGAAGTCTAATATCTAGGAGTATCACTAGATTGAAAGCTGGCCTGGAACCAGCATTTGAAAAGATTAAAAAGAAAGGCGAAAATAGGCAGAGCACTCACGTAAGTACAAATAGGCTGGAACCAAATATCATGATGTATTAGCTATACACCGTGATGGTTGAACCCAAGGTAACCTATGTATGTATAGTATGTTGACCAAAGATGATACAAACGATCACGATTGATATTCTTATTAGGATGCAAAGGTTGCTCGCTTGAGAATAACGAAAGCAAGAAAAACTAGACCAATAACAGCGTTGGAAAAATTCGAATCTTCTCTTCTTACTTCTTATCATAATAAGATCATGCCAATTCAGATCAGAAAATTCACCTAGCTACAAAGTATCTGGCTTGCAATATGGTGGGGAAAGAACATCCACATCCACATGACACCCAGATACATGTTCGACACAATCTTTGTGGTTGAAGTTATAAACCGCGTAGAATTGTGAATGAACAGTCATCCCGAGAATATGGGACAAGAGCTGGAATTTACTGTACGGGGAGTAATTCACACTTCTGCTACCTGATGAGTTAAAATTTTCACACGCAATTAAGGTGAACTTACAGCATTGATGAACTCAAGATTGACATCCAAACTGGCATATGAATGTCGTGAAGAACGGAGAAAACTCGCGGACGGATTGACTTCTATAACGGGTACCAGGACAGCCAGGAATCACATGCAACGAAAAAACTGGTAACTGTGCTAGACATGCAGCAACTCCATATATGGACTCCAAACCACACATGAGAGTATCAAAACCTTTGGTAGGGACCAGAGCGATATTCCAGAGAATATACCCGAAAAAACACGGAAAAATCTTTATTTAAGGACCGTGCGATAAAAGAAGTGAAAACCTACTTTGAGAAAGCAAGTTGGAACTGGTCTTAGGAAAAAGATGTACGAAGAGACGCATGGGACTGCAGCGTTTTCCACAGATTTGAAAATATATAGAAGTCAGACGGCTCCCTAGTGCAGGGGTCGGCAAGTAGTCTTAGGTGGGGTCCAGAAAAAAACAACTGATCAAAATCAAGTGCTACCTATATATTATTTTTGTTTCAAATCAAATTCTGAATTATAAAATACAAGACCTAAAATTAATGTGAGAAATTACACCGACGGTCTTGAGCCAGTTTTTTATAGTTTGGTTCTCGATAGGAACAGCAAATTAGAAGTGTGTTTTCTAGGTGGGCGTCCGTTAATCTCGAACGATATTTGTTTGTCACATGTTTGTCGAGTCAAACATAGTGGCCAAATTTATAGCTAGTTGCTTGCAATTTTCATATTTTTCTGGAACATGTTTGGTCCAGTTTATATATTTCCGTTTTATATATTTGCAAAGGCAGATCTTCTTGCAAATCAATTATCTCTATTTGAAGTGATGCCTTTGGCAGCCACATCTGTCCATTCTGCTGCTACATCAACTTCAAATAACGATTTAAGAAACGGAGATAGCTTGCCCATCTCTGCAAAGTCTTGGACTCTTGTAGCAAATTCGTTCCTAAGATCGGCCAGAAATTTTACAAACACTGCAATGTCTTCTTCAGAGTTCTTTTTATATTAAAAAATTTTCGGAATATGAATAAATTCTTGTCTTGCAATATCTTTTTCAAAGATATCTAGCTTGCGACGGAAAGCAGACACGTTTTGTATCAGATCACATGATAACTTTTCATTTCCTTGTGATTCTTTGTTGAGCGCATTCGTATATTTCAAAATATCTTTTAAAAAACCACAACCAGCATATTACGCTTGTTTGTGCTTTCTGGCTCTCTCCGTATCTAAGTTTTGCAAGAAAGAGGTTACTTTTTCTTTTATCAGCCAAAAACTTTCAATAACGTGACCTTTACTTAGCCAACGAACATTTTGTCGTGTTGCAGTTAAGTCAGAATACGCTGTCAGAAGGAAACTCCTTGAAATCTCATTCTGCTGAAGAGCAGAATGAGACCTCAAAAAATTAATCAACTTAACCAAGCTCTCCATCACTTCTTTCAGTGTAGCACTAAGTTTTCCACAGAGGGCTGCTTGGTGAATTAGGCACTGATACGATGTTATACCTGAGTTTTTATCACTGATTATCTTTACTACACCTTTTTCTTTGCCAATCATCATAACTAATGTTAGACTTGGTAATAAATTCATCAATGACCTTAAATAAATCTCCTCGAGTGTATCCTTTCAACGGCAATATTGCTAGTAACTCTTCCCTAAAAATCTGACACTCAATATCAAGAAAATAGACATTTGTTCATCATCAACAATGTCACATGATTCATCAAATGCTATGGCGTAGCAAGGTGCCTTCTACAGAATTTGAAGAAGAGTGTTTTTATTATCAGCAGCAAAAATTCCTGTTTTTCGTGTATTACTTCTCACTGACAATGAAATACTTTGAAATGCAGGGACATCTTTTTTCTTCAAAAAGTACCGTAACTACTTCTAACATACATTTTTTCACCATCTCAGAATCTGTGAATGGTTTCTGCTGTTTATTAAGCGTCCAGCACACACGTAGCGCTGCTTCTGCTTCTTGCTCGCTTATGCAACGAACTAGTATTTTGTGTTTTTTTTTTGTGAGAACTGAGATTGAAGTTTTTCTTCACGAGCCTTACTGCCAAGAGGAAAGTTTTTGTGAAATTGTTGATGAGTTGTTTCATAGTGTCGCTTCAAATTACCACTCTTAACAATAGCGACAGTTTTATTGCATATAAGGCACACTGGAACCGCTTGAGGCCTATTAGGCAGCGTAAAACAATATTGAGCAGTCCATTCTGCCAGAAACCTGCTATTTTCACTCTCCACTTCACGCTTTTTCCATCCCTATCAGCATAGGTACGAAAATATTATGAAAACGCCAAAAATCACAAAACAAATGGCCACGCTTGGAATCAGTTTTTTCATGTACGTCATCGTTTTATATTGAATACCAAATAGACGTTTCCCAATTATTTATAAAATACATGAATTTCTGAAAAAAGGATGATTCGGTAGGAATTCTGCGGTATCATGGGAAATTATTATAATTCAGTCTTCTGCAATATTTCTCATTCGTCATTGATTATTCAACGGTAATAACGGATTCAAACCTGATGAGATAATTCAGATAATTGATAGCTCATTGCCATAAAATCATTTAAACCGCATTACAGGATATCTTCACTCTATTCAGTGGTTGTTAACTCAATCATTTATTGAATGTAACCACAGTTCACGATGTCTTCTTTGCTTTCATAAAGCTTGTTTTTAAAGTATCGAAATCGATTTTGAAGGTTAAATTGCTGGTTATGTAATTGAGATTTTCACCATCCGAGGTTCATTGGTGTCACTTCCGGATACCGTCTACATAAATCCAAAAATTGGATCAGAATCAATACCATTACATATTG